ATCTGTGGTAATTATGTCTTTTGTATAATACCACTACAGATTCTAATATATTCTAGAATTAATTTATACCTATAAATTATTTTCTTCCGTCCTCCCTTCTCTATTATACATATTATTAAATCTTATTTTTAAAAATGTAATACAGTGACCTCATTAAATATTTTATATTTCAATATCAACTACGTTATACTATAATAAAATCATATAAAGACCTAAATTCAATTTAAACGCATTATTATAATATAAAATACTAATTCAATGCAAACTTTAGTGCATTTTTATAGCCATTGATTGATGTAATTTATTCAATCAATTCTGCATTAATTGATTTTTATTGCCACTATTTGTCAAATAAAAAGATTATATTACATTGATTAACGATATTAACAACTCAATAATACTAATTGTAAATTATAAAATCATTATTTAATAATACTATAATTTATTCATATATTTACAATTTCGCACCTAACTGGAATGGTGATAAAGTATTGGTCACATTTAATTTTAAATTTGGAATGTAAACATTTTTTTATAAAGTTTCATAGAATCATTATTAAATGATACGTTAATTGATTCATTTATTTAAACTTTTTTCACACTTAATGTATGATAAAATATTGGCTATATTTAATTTTAAATATAGAATATAAACAATTTTATTTCATTTTGCATAGTTCTTCTTTATAGAGATAGTGTTTGAAATTTGATTTAAATGAAAGTAAATTCTAAAACAATGACCATGTAGTTTTTATATTAATTGTGTTCAGTTATCGCCGTCATTTTATCTAAATTAAACTGTACCTAGTGGAAATAATGATACTTTCAGGTTGATTTCTAACTAATGCTCGATTTTTGAAATTCCAATTGCTTATATCGATTATCGTTGCAAAAATAATTCAACAACCAAATATTACCTAAATAATTTATGATTGACGTTAGTAATATTAAATATTTAATTTAAAATTAACATACGTAGAAAACAGTTGCTCGGTATGAACTGGGACACAGTTATTAATAACGTTAATATAACCATTCGTCAAGCGCCACGAGCGGTGTGCGTCCGCACATCAACTTTATAGTGTAATTTGTGAGAATTGGTCAGTTCTATAAATAAATAATTTCACAGCTGTAATCTTCGCTGCGGTATAGTAAACTCAACACTCAATATGTTCCCATTTACATGAATATTTTGGCACATATCTACTTTAATATAGTTTATTCTAAGTACGTTTTATTTTTATTGAGTTCCTGATACTTCGGCAGTGTTTCAACCGCCATGATCACGGGTAAACTGAAGAGACAGTGGGTAGATGGTAAATAAAATATTTTTTTTTTATTATTAATATTTTCACACGTCTTCGTTTGTTGCTACTATTGAAACTTTTTATTTTTACTAATTATACATATAAATAATGACTGCGTCAAATTTAAATCAATATATAACAAAAATAAAATTTAGGAGACCAATGATAATAATCACCATTATATGTAAAGGCACCAATCTCATATCGCTTAGCGTAAGGCGTACCATTTGAACTTACGACCTTTTAAAGCACAAGCTGTCCATCTGAATCTTCCATCCTTGTTATTTTAGCTGATGGGGTAATAGTTGGAATATTATACGGCCCTTTGACCTTGGAGCTTGGCAGTAGTTGAGTTTAGTTCTCTCAATGCATTCATGATGTCACTTACTGGTTGGGAGTGGAGTTTGATTTGGAATAAGAATATATTACGTTGCATTAGAAGTACCGTGAACTAGTAGTTTACTACCCAGACTTACTTCGAAAACAGCGAGTTCTAATCTGGCAGCCATTTAAAAAATATTTTGTTAATTTATATTTTTGACGGACTCTCTGTTGAAATTATGATACATTTATTTATTCAACAAAATTAAAATACTTTATTCATATAATTATTCATTCATTTCACATTCGGCCACTTATGGATGTAATTTTTTTATCACTGTTCCGTATCGTCCAATTAATCTGACAAATTCGATATATTTTTCAATTATTATATTCCTTTTTGTTATGAGTAAAAACAAAAAAAAAATAATGACCTTTTTTAAAAAGTAACATATCGTAGCTATGAACCATCTCGCTGTTATGCAGCATTCAAACAAAAAACGTATCGAATCATTTGTTTAGGAGCTACGATGCCGCGACAGACATATAAATACTAACACATCAAACTTATACATTCCTCTTTTTGTCGGGGTTTCAAATTAAATAACATACGAAGTCCAGAATTCAATCCAAGAATACAACTTCGCTTGAGGTATTTCTAAGTAACTGTATTACTTCCCAAATCGTCCGCAATCCGCAATTACAGTTCCATTCGAGCGTATTTACCTTCGCGACCTTTGATACAATTACTTCACTCAAGGTTAATTCCCAACTTTTGAAAATAATTCGCGTTTATTTCTAATACAATAAAAATTTTATTGATCGATTTCGAACGGATTTAATGATCGCCGCCGAGGAAACGAATGTGGAACTAATTTTATTCGAATTATTTGGTTGTTTTTATTTTATCTCTATTTAACTACTTCTTGTGATCAAAAGATCTTAATTATTATTATGATTTTTATTTTTATGAAATGGGAAATGCAAACAAGCTAACGAGTTTCTCATCAGGTATTCATTGACACATACATACATATATTATCATAAGAACTATTGTATATACGGAAGTGGACAGTAGTTAAAATATCAATTAACAATGAAAAAGACGAGACAAGCAGACTTTTCAAATTCTACTTCGATATTTTATTATTTTACTATAGAATCGAAGTAGCTCTATTATTTCAATTCAAATAGGAGGTGAAAATTAAATACTAAAAGAATAGTTTAAATAGAACCATTAGTCTAAAGATAACATTAACATAAACTACACACTCCTTTATTTTAATTTAGTTTAGTTAATTGTTGCGGCCTCTTTATAAGCGGCGCTAATAAGACATATAACTAATACAGACAGAACTACTGACGACATGATTGATATGACAAAAATTAAATAATAAATAACCCGTGACAATTAACACAACGCCATCTAGTCCCATGGTAAGCAGAGCTTGTGTTATGGATACTAGACAACGGATATAAATACTTATATATATTTTTTTTGTAAATACATCATATTATAATATACATAGAAAACACTCGGGCCGATCAATCAAACTCAAACAATCATACTCATGAATACAAATGTTTGTACCGTGCGAGGAATCGGACCCACGACCATCGGAGGTAAAGCGGTATGCTAAACCCCTAGACCACCAAGTCCGTCAATGAAACAAATACGACGGACAATTGGGACAATATTAGAACATATATTTGGTTATCAGAGAACTTTAATTTCAATCCATGCCGACGATATTCTTACAGGATAGAACGATCAGCAGAGCATTCATGAGTCTATACTAACTATATTTATCTACACTATGACTATACCTAAATTTCAGTAGGACATAGGTACCTAAATGTTAGTAGGACATTGAAATATGTTTATAAGTTTATTCAAATGTTTTATTTCTCCTATAACTAAATATTAGGAAAAACTACGACTTATAATTTTTACGATTTGATGATATAATTGACCAAAATAACTGACTCTGTCTGCTATGGGAACCGAAAAAATAAGAAAAATGGAAGGTCTAAATGTCAAACGGTGATTGAACATCTCATAATATTGTGTAACACATCTGTCATTACGCATAATCGTGATAACATACAATAACATGTAAGATAAAAAAGAAGAAAACCGGCCACGAGTGTGTAGGATTTAAATAATTTATGGTTCTGTAGGTAGTTTATTATTATTATAGGTTTATTTTTTTTTGTTAACAAAACATAATCATTTATAAATTTAGTTCAAATTAAAAAAAAAATGTTTTCTTTTCTCTTTCTTCTATAATAGATATATTAAAAAAAACAGCTTTTGACGGTAAGCTAATGTACGCATCCTCCAAAAGTTAGTCTGAAGATACTACGAGATTTTAAATATATTCTATTTATTTTTATCACATTTTGCTGAGGTACGCTTTTTATAATGTCGTGGATACCTGTAACACATATTTCAGAGGTCAAGCAGTTTGCAAAATGTTTTAACTGACTGTGGCATAGATATTGTACGGTATGGAAGCATGAGACCTTAGTCCTCTAGTATAGCAAGTTATGAGTACCGCAGGTATTGTGGTGCTATTCAGGTATATACTCGTAGGCTACGGGTACCACTACCATAGAAAAGAAAACATTTATAAATATAAGAAAATGAAAAATGAAAATATGAAAAAATTTGTTTGAGATATTATTAATTTTTTACAAACGTATAAAAATTTCAACTATTGTCTCTTATAGGTATACTTATAAGTTACCATTTATTACTATAGGTTACGAAAGTTTCTCTAAAATCAACGTAGTATGTGCAAATCTTAATAGGTGTGAGTCAGCATACAGGCCAGATAGACGCGGACCCCTAAATTAAAATCATTAATTAGATAAGTCAAACAATAATTTATATTAAATACCTACCGTTGAATTACTATATTCAAATGTCTATAAATGATTAATTGCCTATTATTTACGATGAATAAAAATATTATTGAATAGTTAGTTTGAAAATATAATTAATGAGTTACAATTGTAATCCTGTCGAATAATAAATAGGTGGAAAATTAGAATTATTAATATTCTCCAGGAAGCATTTTAGACACGGGCCAATTTTTTTTTATTGTATGATAAATTGTTACGTCAAGACATGATGTAATAATTTCTGCTGCCAAGCAAATTGCACTGTTAACTGTGAATCAGATAGAAGGGTGAAAGGAATGGTATACTAAGATATGGAATATTACAAATAAGTTATCGGGAATAGCAATCCGTGAAGGAGTACTAAGAGCGTCATCTGATTAGGATTGCCACTTACCGTCAGACAGACAATCTGTTTGTTTGTCATACCAATTACATAAAAAAATATTACAAATATTTATAAATATTATGTTTTCTGTATACAGATTCGACCAAGGCAAATCAACAAAAGGCGCAAGCAAATTAAGGCGGGACCTTATCAACGCAGAAATAGCGAATCTTCGAGATCTCCTGCCGCTGCCACCCTCTACCAGGCAGAGATTGTCGCAACTTCAACTAATGGCGCTTGTCTGTGTATATGTCAGAAAATCCAACTACTTTCAACAAGGTAAATTAACAATTATATTATTGATAGAAATAGAAATAGAAATAGAAATAATCTTTATTCAAATAAACTCATTACAAGCACTTTTGAATAGTCATATTTTGATTCTACCACTCATTCGGAATGCAGATTCATCACAAGAAGAATGAGCAAGAAACTTGTGTGTTGCTCTTTTTGATAGATGTTTTTTTTATATAAATAATTACAGTGTAACAAGTAAGAGGCATGCGACAATCAACATAGAAATCGCTACGCACTCATTATTAGTGTAATCAGATAATATTGTCAGTGCTATGTATTTAAAATTTTTCTACAAAAACATTATTATCGTTAACGAATTCTTCAATTTTATAGTAAGCTTTTTTGCAAAGGAAGTGTTTTATTTGACATTTAAATCTTTTTTCTGGCAGATTTATAACAGACTCTGGTATTTTATTGTAAAACCTTACGCAATTGCCATAAAACGAATTACTAACTTTAGCCAAACGACATTTAGGTAAAATCAGTTTGTTATTGTTACGTAAGCTTTTATTAGTGCAATCACTAACTCTTTTGAAACTGTCTATATTCTTCCTGGCATACATGATGTTTTCATAAATATATTGAGAAGCAACGGTGAGGATATTTGATTCCTTAAAGCACTCTCGCAAAGACTCCCTGGAACCCATGCTATAAATGGAGCGAATGGCCCTCTTTTGTAAAATAAATATTGTATTTATATCAGCTGCTTTGCCCCATAACAAAATACCATACGACATAATGCTATGGAAATAACTAAAGTACACAAGTTTAGCTGTTGCCACGTCTGTTAATTGTCTAATTCTTCTTACCGCATAAGCGGCAGAACTAAGTCGACTCGCTAATTTAGTAATATGGGCACCCCATTGCAACTTGGAATCTAATGTGATACCTAGAAATACAGTATCATCCACAAAATTAATAGGTTTATTGTCCAACATGATTTTTGAATCTACCGGTCTTACATTGGGGAGAGTAAATTTGATACATTTAGTTTTATTTGCATTTAGTAACATATTATTAGCCGTAAACCATTTTAAAACATAAGAAAGAGCACCGTTTACTTCGTCCAAATCATCAATATGTCGATTGACTTTGAATACTAATGAAGTATCATCAGCAAACAGAACTATGTCAGCTATCTTTTCTACCATATAAGGAAGATCATTTATGTAAACTAAAAATAAGAAAGGACCTAAAATAGAGCCCTGAGGAACACCCATTTTAATACTAGTTCCTTCAGACTTTACACCATTTATTTCGACAACTTGCATTCTATTATTTAGATAGGATTTCATCATGCTTTGTGCTTCATATCTAATACCGTAATGTTCAAGTTTGAGCAAAAGTGTTTCATGTTCAACGCAATCAAATGCTTTTGAAAGATCGCAAAATACACCGACTGCATCCTGAGACCTCTCCCAAGAATCAAATATATATTTAATGAGAGCTACACCGGCATCAGTAGTTGATTTACCGGCCGTGAAACCAAATTGTCGACTGTGAAGCAGTTTATTTACTTTAAAGTGTTGTAGCATTTGATTGAGCATAATTTTTTCAAACACTTTACTCAATACTGGTAAGATAGATATAGGCCTATAATTACCTACCACAGTTTTTTCTCCTGACTTAAAGAGTGGAGTTATTTTGCTATGTTTCATTAAATTGGGAAAAACACCGTCAGAAATACATTTATTGAAAATAATTACTAAATATGGAGCAATAACATCTATAGCGGTGTTAATAACTTTAACAGACATGCCCCAATGGTCTTCAGTATTTTTTAAATTTAATTGTTTAAATGTTTTAGTAATTGTAGCAATGTCAATAAATGTAAATTTAAATGTAACCGGACAAGAAACAACATTATCAATAAGGAATGATTTAGCTGTACCAGGAGAAGAGTCCAAAGAGGAAGTAATATCAGTTGGAATATTAGCGAAAAAATTTTCAAAAATATTGACAATTTCTTTTGTGGACGTTACTAGTTTATCATTATAATTTAGCGTAAAATCGTTATATGGACTTTTAACTTTGCCAGTTTCTTTGTTAATAATATTCCACACTGTCCTTATCTTATCCTTGGACTCTTTAATTTTTTTATTTAGATAATTAGACTTTGCTACATTACATACCTTTTTAAAAGTTTTTGAGTATCTTTTTACATAATTTACGAATGTACTATCGAAACGGTATTTTTTTTTGAGCATATAAATCAAATAATATATTTCTACTTTTAAGAATTCCCTTTGTAGCCCATTCTGAAAATTTTGTTTTGTTAATAATACTGATAGTTTTTTTGTTAAAAGCCTTATTATATTCGTTAGAAACAATATTGAAGAAATCTGTATAAAGTTTGTTAGGTTCATTAGATGGAAGATAAAAATCTAATTTACTACGAACTGATATTTTAAATTTATTTATCTTATAACTAGTCAAGTCTCTTTTTAATAAATTAATTTTCCCAATTTTGTTTAAGTGATTTGGAAAAATAACTATTTGACCACAGTGATCAGAAGGAAGGTTGTTTATTATTATTTTATCTAAATACTCACTGTTGCTAAATATGTTATCCAAGCAAGTAGCAGACGTGGCAGTGATACGAGTGGGTTCGTGGAAGACATTACTCAAGTCAAAGGATTGAAATAAACTCATTAATTTAGTTTTTGTGGTATTATGTGATAAAATGTCAACATTGAAATCACCACACACTATAATTTTTTTGTTAATATTAAATACTCTTTTTAAAATATCCTCCATTACCTCTTCAAATAAATTATAATCACTATTTGGAGGTCTATAAACACATATAACTATATAATTGTCTAGTTCCACACAGGAAATTTCAATACAACATTCAACAGAAAGATTGCCAATATCACTACGTTCTTTTACTTTTATATTATTTTTCACCAATATCATAGAACCTCCTCTATTTACTATTTTTCTATTAAAGCAGCTGACAATATTATAATTGTTTAAGCTGAACATCATATTGCTCACTTTGAGCCAATGTTCAGTTAAACATAGAACATCTATATTATTGATACTGCATGATATAAAAAAAATTACAATTTATTCGTAAAAACGTCTCGTGAACTTACTTTATAAGTATATTGCAATATTTTGTCCATTTCTTTAGAATGCAAAAACAGTTTTTGTAAAGGCCTCAATGCTACACTAAGAAATGCTTTTGAGTAGCAGTTTGACTTGGAAGTAACTTAAAATTAATCCCTACATTTACTTTTGTTAAAGCTCAGAAATATGTTATATGTAACGAACGATTAAATAATAATATAAAAAAACCGATATAAAATCATAAAAACGTCTCATGAATCTATTTTCTATTGCAATGCTAAGTCCATTAGTGCTTTGTTATGTATAAAAAAAAGACACAAAAACAGTTTTATGGCTTAAATGCTTTTGAGTTTGACTTGGAAATAATACGTATTTTTAAATAAATTTCTACTTTTGTTTTTTCTTGACATTATCATCTAGTGTCTGAAATAAATTGCTCCAAGAATTCCTTTTTATTAAAAAAACTATTCATTTTATGATGTAAAATATTAGTACATATAATTGTCGAGGTTACTAACATATATTGCACAAAGCAAAATTTATGGATATATCACGTCAATCAAAAAGTTATTTAGGCACTTTAAATTTGCCAAACTACTTACCTATTTTTTAATGTACCTTGCTGCGATGTTTACTTAAGATATACAATAATAATAACAATTATTCATTTTAGTACAGTTACATTATTTCGTAGATCTGTGCTAGAGAATCCTAGTGTGTTTTTTTTATGGACGATAATAGTATGATGCATTCGCCTACGCTTACGGTTTACGCTGGCGGGGCACCAGTGGAGGATGATAAAATGAGCATGGAGCTAGGTCAGTTAAGCTAACTGACCTAGCTTCATGCTCTTTTTATCATCTATCTTGACACGTAGCAATTTACCACCATGGTTTCCAGAGGTTACCGCGTGGAGGTCAACCACTTTCGTATTTACAATATTGGTATGGATAATGCAAATATTTTATTTGCATTATACATAATATTATAAATATTCCGCAAGTGTGTCTGTCTATCCCGTACATTTCAAATAGTACGGTTCACGTCTATCAGTAGAGGAATCCATCTTCCATTCTTTGAAAAATATTCCTTGACAGTATTATCAGGCAAATATTAATAACATTTTATAGATCAGTTAACATAATAATTAACCTCGCACTTTACGACCAACGAAAATTTTGATGATTCGAAATAAAAACTTGCCTAAACCTTACATATTATGTTACATCATTCATTTTTATTATAGGCCGTAGTTATCCACCATTCAGTAGGATTCTCCTTCAAGCATCGTTTAGCGAATTACCACAAGGTCTCACATAAATATCGCCGTAAACACACGAGCATCAAACTCGAAATACAACCTTGATAATAAAACGGCAAATTCAATAATTGCGTAACAAAGCGATTTTCCCACGAACAACAGTTAGTCGTTTTAAAAAAAGAACAGCGTTTCGGTTTTGATAGGAAAATTAGAGAAAATTAGTGGGCTGCGGCTGGCTACCGACTGATGGTTATTGGTCCTAATGGTGCCTGCAGGGGTGGAATCCTGGACGGGTAGTGTCACGCTCGGATCGCACGCTACCAGCGCTCGTGACGTCACTGACCGCTCACCTGTAATTATTTTAAAGTGATCGAATTTTCAGTGAATTTATGTATGATGTTCTTTGAATATCTTATAACAAATTAACTTAAGATTCTAAGAGAGTAAGAGTGTTTCGTTTATTAATACGAACAGTGTAGCTTTTTAGTTTATTGTTTGTACAAAAAAGTTACAGTGTGTTAATGTAAATCATATTATTTATTATGACTTTTTGTAAAAGTATAATGAATAAAAATAATGAATAATATATACATTATTTTTTATGTACTGTTACATTTCAGAATAGATATTATGGCTATTTCGAACT